CGACGACAACGACGAGACGACGACGACGACGACGACGACGACGACTACAATTACTACTGCTCCGCTTCTTCACTTCTATATACTTCTACTTAAGATTCTAATTACTTTTTCCCCCTACGAAGACGACGATGACGACTACTGTCTTTTCTAGCACCACAACTGCGAGTACGACCTCTGCGACCGAAGGAAGGGCGGAGGCGAGGGGACATAACACAAGGTGCAAAATTGCTTGCACCCAGAGAAAACTGCCGTTTAGGATTGGCTTGGTTTCGAGCTTTCAAGCTTACAACAGGGTCCAACGGCTGCAGCATCGCACCAGCATTGCCTGTTCCCGCACGCTGAGCTTGCTCTCCAGCTCTGCCGCATAAGAGCCCGCACTTCGGAGTTCTGCCTCCACATTGACCTCGTGCCCGGCATGAGAATGCACTGTAGATCTTTTACTTGTGGCTCCAGACAATCCTGCTGGCTTCTCCCACTATGCAAAACGACTATACTAACTATACCTCGCGGAATCGCAGAAACTAGCTCTCTAACTCGGGCCGGGCCGTGCACCTTGTAGTGTGCCATCTGGCGCTCGTGCCTGTCGAGAAACAGGCATCACATGGTCACAGGCAGTTGCCGGATGCTTGTTCTGATGGGCTCTGTGCAACTTCGGTGCTCGCGATGTGCGACGTCCATCTGCTGGATCATCTCCGCAGTCTGGGCGAACGATGGATGACTCTTCCGGTTCTTCCGAGTTCCGTCCTAGACATTTTGGAAACAACTATCAGTATTTGCGAGAACGACGCGGGCGCGGGACCAACGCTCCGTGACCTCGGGACCTTTAAAGCCTGTCACATCCCGTCATCTCAAACATGCCCATCTGATTGCCAGAACCAGGGCATGCCGGCTCAATATGCCTCGCCAGAATGCATATGTACACAAGGACCAAGTTTTCACAGCACGGTACAACAAAGCTGCAAGCTGACATCGGCTCTTGTTGTCCCACTGCTCTGTGCTGGAACAAAGGCTCGCCAAAAACACGAAGCACCAGTCTCAGATATGTGAAGTGAGTTTTGGTTGCCAGCCTTCGCCGACGCTTCTGTCTTCGCCCGCTCCACCTCCCAGTCCTCCAGAACATGCACACATGTCAGGCAAAATCACACCCTAACTTTCGGGGATTTGCCCGCTGCCTATTCGCATTGGAACTCGTTCTGCGACCGAATAGAAGAATGAATGGCAGCCGCTGCTAAGTCTAGAATGAACGCAAACGGTCCTTGGCCCTAAGCTGTGCTTCAGCTTCTGCCAGCCGCTCACGAACCTTCTGCCGGCCAGCCAGACGTGGGAAATCTAAAACATACTGAAAACTGCCACTGCATACATGCCCGTCTCAACTCTCAAACCAATTCGCCGCGTCATCTATCCCAAGGTACTAATTCAATGCACATCATCCCCATTCGAACACTTATGGCCAGTCCAGTGTGCCATCCTCTCAATGTTCCATTCTTGCCCAGCAGCTCTAGGTAGCTCTTGGCCAAGCTCTGCCACCCTCCAGCCATGAAAAAAAACATGCTGATCTCATCTTGTCGGCTCGTCCCTAAATCCGCGAGCTAAAGGCGGCTCTCACATGCCACTAGAGCCACAAAGTTTGGGCTCCTGAGATTGAGGGGTTGCCAATGCCTTCGCTGCTCCACGGATAGCTGGGCAGCTGAGTCACGCTGAGCCTTTGCCACCTGCGCATATCGGCATTGCTTGGCAGCACAATCACTCTCAGCTCCAAGCCTGTGCACGTCCATATCCCTACTCAGTTGGCCGATTGCCCACTTCACTCGCATATCGGCATTGCGACAAGTCATTGCTACGGCATCTGCCAGTAAAGCTAGAAACATGACTCTTCACTCTTCACCTGTGCTTGCGGGGCATTCAAGAATGGTACATGGATTGAACCCCGCAGGGCGGGGGCTGGGAAGTCATGCGCCGGCTGCCTCTTCTTCGGCCCAACCTTGCCATCTCTCAAGCTCCTGAGAGCTCTGCGAAGCCGACTTAACTCTTATAATCGCCCGTTTCGACTCAGGTTTGTTCCGAAGAGATGTGTTATCTGAGCAGCTGGCCAGCTCCAGATCTCGCACTCTGGCAGTGGCGGTTTCAATGTCGGCCTGACGGTGATTCTGGTGATTCTCAGCAAAGATGTGCCGCAATGGCTCAGGCTCGCGCAGATGCTGAGCTGCTGAGGCTCTCCTTAGCCAACCCGGGAAAGCTTGCTAGTAGTCCTTTGTGTTGCGGTCGTTCGCAGCGTCACGAACTTTATTCATGCTGAAAGTGCACAACTTCATCCCATTCAAATCGGAAAGTTACATCTACAGTGAATCTACAGATCGGTCGGACTCGGTTGGACGAACCTCCTACAGTGTCCTACGCGCCAGCGCGCACGAGATCGCCAGTGGCTCAAAAGGCAAGGCCCAGGCAAGAGCAGCCTGCAGGCTCCGGCACTTCTCCTCGGAGTCATGCAGGCCTGAGGGAGCGGTGGAGCGACCCTAAATCTGCAAAGCCATTGATTACACGAAACCACGCTTCGACAAGATGTGCTATGCTGCACCTGAGCTGCAGCTCACTTCAACCTGACTTCAACGAATCTTGCATGTTTTTTCTGCAGCCTCTGACTCCCGACACTTTTCCGCGCGGTAGTGGTCTTGGCTTCACCTCACCTGCTCGATCACGACGATCTCACTACTCATGAGTGCTTATACACGGCCAAGACAATCCGATCAGATCGCCACTGCAGATCTTCTGGCAACCGTAGCGGATGCGGACATGCCAGCAAGCCTTTTGCATCCTTTTGCCACCTTCGGTCGAACAGGTTGAATCTTCGCAATTCGCATGCTGATCGCATCTTGCTCTCCTCGTGGCGCTTTAATGATCGCAGTCGTGCAGCCCGTTGGAGCTACAGCTATCCACCACGATCTCCAGCAATCGCGCAGCCCAAGTCCACAACAATCAGGCCGTTGATCCAGTGCTACGGGACCTGCTTCCAAGCGCCTGTGCCTCCTTCCACTTTGAGTCGGTAAGGTGGCCACTCTCTCTCTAGGTCCGAAAGGCGGCCAGCGAAGCGAGACGCCACCAACGCAAAGAGGATCGCCGGAGCTCCTCAGCACACATCCGAAGACTGCAAAATGCTGCATGCAGCCACTGAAAGTCTTGTGCCTCATGATGCTGGCGCATTCTCGAGCTTACTGTGAAGGCTTCTTCCTTCAGCGGCGAAGCAAGTCACAAGTTGATTCGACAGTGCTTTCCGGCATCTTGGGCACTACTTCTGCTTCACTTGCCTGAGTCATGGTGGCCAGCTGAAGCATCTCCCGCGCACTCCTGAGTCTCAGGCAAACACCAACTCCACCGCGGCCACAACATACTCAATATTCTGATGGCCCTCGGAAAGAAACCCCCTGATCGATCTGACCAGAGACGACAGCAGCATTCTAGCATGTCGTAGCCACGGCTCCTGAAGCGAATTAGGTGGGGCCAGAGCTCCCACTCCGTATACTGCGCCCAGTAACCTCAGCAGAAAGCATGTATACATATGCGGCGTGATTGAATGCCTGTTTCATCGATTTTCCGATTCAAGCAAAGTTTTGCCATGATTTGCAGTACAGCTGGCTTCATTGATGCACCTAATGCCGTCAGGTGCCGCTAAGCAACGTCTGTCCTCATCAAAACGATCTGGTTGGAACACCTTGCCCTGGAAGGCGAACGGTGAGAAGGGATGGCTCGATGTGTTGGCTGCCGTCCTTGGGGCTCTCTCGGAGTCTTTTGAATATGTCGTCTTGGATGCACCCTGCTGCATCAGCCCAAAACAGCCCAAACTGCATTCAGAGACAGAGACAAGAACTTGGGCCAGCCAGATGTTCTAGAAAGCAACACTCAAGGTCAATCGTCTGAGATGAAGCTGCGGGTCGGATCCAGCGATTGGGACAGCTCAGAATCTGTGCGTCCACAGAAAGGGCCAGCATATGGCCACACATACCTGATGAATCCACTTGCTCGTTTCTGTCGTTCCGAAGATCTAGGTGGGAAAGGGGAGTATCACATAAACGTCACGAATCATGCAGGCAATTGTCATTGAGTAGACCTCCCACGTTAACTTCCCACTGGACCCAACGCCAACAAGCAAATCATCCGAGAGCCCTGTCATCTACTGTGTTTGGGAGTCGCGACCACGTAGACGTAAGAACCATGTGCAGGGCCGTGCAGGCGCAATTTTTCCTCAAATCATGATGCTATGCACTGCTTTTTCCGAATTGCTTGTGCAGCAGCGGGAGTGCTGGCACCAGTGTTGGCGAGTTCAGCCTTATTGATTATTATCAACAATCAAGTGAATGAGACAATAACGCTGGCAGCACACGGATGAATAATTACGGCAATCCCAAGTCTTCGACGCGAAGACATCTGGCAGGCGCTGCGCATAGGGAACCTCAATCTCTATCCCCGCCCTGGGCCGCCCAATCTGCAAAAGGAGAGAAATAGGTACACAGATAGATAGATCGATGGTTGGATAGATGGATATAAGTTTAAAGGTAGATAGATGGACGCTCGGATGGATGGCTTGGACAGATAGACAGACAAACAGACAGTACATGTAAAGTACATATGTACGAATAAGGGTTGGCATTCGGAGATTTGCCCCATCGACTCAATTATTCTACATCTTGTCCGTGAATAGATGATCTTTATGTAACACTCCTACAGCACTCGGGACACTGTGACATTCTGACAGATTTTTGGGGTAACATGTCCTGCTTGATTTGGGCTTTGTTGGTGGCAGTGTTGGGCAAACGTCATCTTTTCCGAGAACTTGGACTGGGGCGCATGAGGTTTTTTCATGTCAAAAATAACACTGTTTGGGGTTAAAGACGGTCAAACGTTTGCCATCCGCTACACCTTTGAAAAACATCGGGTTCGCCATCCATAACTCATGCTCATTCGATATCCAATCACTCTTCTCAGGAACAAGATTGACCACCTGCTGAATCCTTTTGCCACCCATCATCCCTTACATAATTGGGGTTTTGGGGAACCAGCGGATTGCTACCCATCACCTCCTTTGGGGTGTTGGGTTCGTCGCACAATTTACCCGACAGGACGGAGGCCCAATCACCTCTTGTAGGGTTTGGTGCTTAGTGTTGGCTTTGTGGGCACCAACTTCCTCATAATCATCATATTTTGCTGGATTCCTGCATTAGTAACCTGTCCTACTAGTTATTGGGATTATGGGCTTTGGGAACTGGTATTCTGGTATTCCAAACCCCATATCTCTTTCAGTGCAATGGTTCTGCCAGGTCTAAAGCTGAAGATTTGCCACTCGTCCAAAATTCTTCTTAGCAGTACCCTGATTTCGGTTATGCGTTTGGTGGCCACCCATCTTCTTATTCTGAAACCCAGCTTCTAATTTCTATATCCGATATCTCATGCTAGAAGGATTAACAACGAATCCGCACCACCCACTCCTGGGGAAACAGTGTTCTTTACCGGACCATTCGTTTCATGGCATCGCTGTTGCCAAGGTTCGTGGTTTTGGGATGCCAGCCATCCCTGGTTTTGATCTTGACCATGCCCTATCGACGACTATGGGTTCTAGGAACCGAGCCATGCCTTCCAGGAATTGGGGTTTGCAGCCATCCCTCCTTGTCCAGGCCTTTGGGGTCTCATGCTGGGGTGTTTAGCAACCAGTCATTTCTTTTGGGGTCTCGGGTCCTCAGCGCCGCTCACACATATGAGCCCATCATGGTCTATGTAGGCTTGTTTTGGGGGAACCACTTATGGTCATCGTTCGACACTTCGGGCCCATGAAACATATATTCATACTTTTCACTTGTTGTGTCAGCTACACAGCGCGGGGTTTCGGGTGCACGCCACCATTCACCCATATGAGCCAAGCATTCCCTGTTGAGTATTTATTTAGTTGCCGGGGAGCCAATTATCCCTGGTTTCATGCCTGCGAACAATAAACTCCTTTTTATGACTGGCTTCGTCACCCACGGCATCATCTAGGGAAGCAGTAATCCGCGCGTCTATCTTGACTGTCAATCGTCTCAGTTCGTCTGTCGCCCTCTGTGCATATACGTGGGTATACAGGCAGAGGTACATGCGCAGGAAAAGCATGCATACACACACGTACTTCATATGAGTATACATATATACAAACACATTAAACCATATGCTTTCGTATGATATACACATTATACACATGAACAGATTAGAAGCACATGTCTTCCTGTATGCACACACACATTAGTAAGAAAATGAATAAACACATAAACGAATAAATGAATAGATACATAACATGTTTTTATGCCTGTGCGTGCAAACAGCCAAAAAACGAAAGCATGGGCTGGTCTACCCTAACCATCGTGGGAGCTTTGTTCTGGACCTTATCAAAGCTCGGGCATCGCCGGGAAAAGGAGGCTGTCTTCAAGCAACATACCAAGGGTTTCCAAGGCAAGGCACATGCGGAAGTAGCGCCAAAGCACGGAACCGGCTGATTTCTGTAAAGCCTCACAGCAGCCGGTAGCAGACTCCGATTGACGTGGGATGCTGCCCTTACTAGTACCACCCACACCTCTTTAAATGTCAACACTTATGGTCACAAAACACGGGCAGACAGCACAGACTGGAGTGACAGGAAGTTTACAGGCCAGGAAGCTCAAGGATTTCTGCGATGCCTTGATTCCAGCCGAAAACGCATCATGAGGGTCCATAGGGTTATGTAGCACAAGCAAAGGCTAGATGTACACGTCCGCACTGTTGGAGCTGAAATCCTGCACCAAGTGCCTGGCAAACTACATCATTTCTTTGGAACTACTCACTTGTGGCCACCTCGCGGACTCCAGCTGCAAGCAAGCAGCATCCATGATGACAAGTCTGGCAAATTGAATGCCTTGCGCACGTGCCTGGCGCAGCTGTGCGCAGGCAGGCTAAAGAGTGCATACAGAGACGAGACGAGATGCAAGCTCGAGTGTGCCACAGCTTCGAAGCTTCTAGCTGTTGACTATAATTTCATAGTTGTAAGATTTGTAAGTCATGCCACCTTGATTCATACGTGGCGCTTGTTCGTGCCCTGGCTTCTATACACACTCGCTCACTCCTGCTCTGGCATTCCTGGCTCCAAGCAAGTTCTGCTTGCATCGATCCGAAGACAAGCATGCACCACCTGCTTCTGAATGTTGAAATTCTCGGGGAAGGTCAGTTCAGTCCCGAAACCCCTAGTCTCAGTCCGACCACTCCTAGTCGTATTCCAAGTGCAAGGTCACTATGTTCTTTGGTCGTGAGGTACCATGTCAGAACGTGAAAGTCAAAAATCAATCCCCGCCTCGGCAGTCAGCATTTGTAGTATGCGGATGAAGCCAGGGGCACCGGGCAGTCGAAATCGAAAAAAAAGCACGTCCTAGGCTTCACTTGGCTTGGCACGACTCCACCTGAAAATCCCCAACCAACAGTTCTCACCGGTGGAGCAGGGTGTCGGAAGACGCCGGCGCATATTGCGCTGAAGCGGCCACATGCAGAGACAAGGCAGGCACGTAGGGCGGTCGAATGCCTGACTTGCACGGGCTGCCTACAGCCACTACAGTGCGTAGCATGTCAAATTGCATCAACGATGGTTGCAGTCGCAGCGGTCGTAGCGTGGCTCCCCTTCCGAACCAAGGCACCGCTCTGATAGTTCAGCATTTGCGCAGATATGGTGGCCGCCGCGCTCAGTCGTCCCTGACCGTTCGGCCAAGACACGAAGGAGAAACGCGGGTGCAGACAAACATGCAGCCTGCTTCAGAAGGTCAGCGCCAAGCGCCCGCACCAGCGGCCAAAAGGCTGGGAGCTCCTGTGGTTTCAGCCATGAAAGTACGAAAGAAAGTGTCAAGTCCGCGAAGTCGCCTCTTCGCCAAAGACGTGAGCGAAGGCATGGAGCAAGCACCTGGGGATATCGGGCAAGCAGACAAGTGGGAGATGCTGTCTGCCTTCTGGTTCAAGCGGCATACTCACACGAACAAGCAAATGGCCGGAACCCACAGCAGCATGCAGCCTCGGCTCGATAACCAGCACACAGCAACTAACTTAACTAACGACAGTCCTTTTGCATCCTTTCGCACTGCAGCCGAGGGGCAGCACACAAAGCCAGAGCGGCTCGCAGCAGATTTGCAGCCCTAGTCGAGTACAACATGCATGTTTTTCAGCACAGCCGGCACCCGGCACACTGCCACGTACGTGGTAGGCTGCACAAACTTCGCCCGCTCGTGATTTGCTTCCGCGCCACGACTTCGCCGAAGCAGCGGCTCGCGCTTCGCGAATCCGCGAAGTGCTGAAACGGCAGCTGCGACCTGCACCACAACTCCAGCCCCGAAAAATCGCAAGCTGTCATGCTGACCTTCTCCGCGGTTCTACTTGCACACAATTACATCTGCGCCCTTAACTTATGAATCCTTATGATGCCGATCCCGCCCCATCTTCAGCCTATACACATCCACGACCGTCCCGACGAGCGAAGCATGTGCCATGATTGAAACCGATCTTGGCAAGAGTCTGTCCAACCAGGGAGGCCGTCAGTGCGGCCTTAGCCAGAGCGCCGGAACATGCTCTAGACCTGGTAGGCTTCAAAAACAGTGCTGCGCCTCGAGATATGGTGAGCGGCTCGCCCCAGAACCTGTAGCTGCGAGCACATGCGAGCGTAGCAGCATGTCTTTTTTTTTCGTAGTCTGCCAGGGACGACAGCAGCCGGCAGCAGAGCGGCTCCTCCCAAGAGATGCGAAGCGTCGCACGCAAAGCGTCGCCCTCTTTGGTGCCTCAGCCAGCTGCAGAGCAACTGCTAGGCAGCGGTCTTTCTTTCTTTCGTTGGGCTAGCTCTCTTGCTGCTTTCGGCAGGCTTATAAGGGACGGGTGACCCGGCCTGTTGGGTCCGCCTCCTTTTTGTTATGGACTTCTGGCACCGAAACCACACAACAACTACAACACAGCTTGAAAGTAACCTTCTGCCCTGCAGGCCCTTCTGAGGTGTCGGGCAGCAGCCCCCCTATCGAACGACAAAACACCGCTCGGCGCGAAGTTTTGGCGCTGCAGGCCAGTTGTGCGGTCTTTGTGCTGGCATCCGGCAAGGCGAACACGATTTGGAATTAGTTGTCTCGCTTTTCTGGCAAGCAGTCCAAAGTCTTCAACACCGAAATGTACAAGGGCCGCCGAAAGGGAACAAGAGCTTGGGGGAGCAAGTTGGTGCATTCGGCTCTGTGTGGAGTGAACCGGAGAGACGGCTTGTCATCCTAATTTGGTGTTTGCTTGTTTGCTTGCTGAACTTGGGCCCCCAGGCACGAAACCCTGGCACCCTGCGCGCATCTCTCCGTCTTTTGCTTTGCTTGCGGTAAGAGCCGAGGGCAGTCCCCTCGACCCGCGCTGAACGAGCATGTGGCAGCCAAGGCTCCTTCAAGCGCCCAGAGATAGGTGAAGAAGTGGCCTTCCTCCACCTCTGGTTTTGCGTTCATCTGAGCGCTCAAGTGCGGTAAGTAAAGTTGCACGTCCCATGACGCCTCCACCGTGGAATCCTGGTAGTCACTGCCGCAAGCCTCCTGGCAAGGCGCTTGAAGCCATCAGGAACAAAGACATGCGAACAGCTTGCTGGGGATGCAACCTGAGTTGTGCCGACATGAAGCCACATGAGTCTCTGCTGTGCAGCACTTTATGCACCTTGAATTTTGCAAACTCCTTTGAAGATTAGAAGCCTCAAAAGCGGTTGATGCATGTGTTGGCGCCGTACGTATCATTCAGTATCGGTCGTCTGGTGTTGGCCGGCGAAGATTTTCAATGACGCTTATCTAAACCAACAGTGTGAACACTGGCTCCTTCAATGCAGCGCGGGCAGTGCTCAAGTGGTCCAAGTTCACCTCGAACCCTACAAAACTGCTGCTTGATTTCTGCTACCAGACCCAGCACGACAATTGATTCCTTGCTGCATCATGTGGCTGGCCCGTGTTCTCCGATCAGCGCGATGGGAATTCGTGAGCGGCCAGCGCAGAGTCCAGAGAAATCTGGCCCTGCACACTAGAGATGCGCTGCGGAGAAGCGACTCGAGGCTGAAACGCAGTGGGCCACTCGTTTCTTGGTCTTCATTGCTCAGTCTGAAGGAACGATCTATTTTGGGGTTGGCGGAGAAGATTACCGTGCAGCACGCAGCTTTCGGAAATCTTGCTGAGGCTTCGGATCTGGCAGGGCACTGAATGCTTCGTAGAATGCGCATACCAAAGGCACCAGGAGTGGAGCTGGAGCTATTCGAGGCTTCCGCAGCAGTCGCCTGATGCTTCCAGCGCCATCAAACTCGTGGAATCCTTCGCCGGGCCATGGCTCTGAGAATGTCCCGGCTTCGTCAGAGGGACGCGGAAGCTCAGCACACTTCACACATCCACTTCCACATGCGCGTCTCCTCGTGCCAAGCTGTCAGTCTTGGAGGTGGCACAGGGTGACGCGAGCAATAGTCCTGGCCACAGATTCGCTGTGTTCACAAAGAACGCACACCATGTACGTTCGATATCTACGCAGATTTAGGGCCTAGGGCGAAGGGAAGCCGATGCTAAAGGGGTCCAAGTGCTACCCGTAGCCCCTACGACAAGAGCCGGAAGTTCAGAGCGACGCAACATCCTCGTAGCGCGGATAGTACACACCCGGCTCGGTGTTGATGTTCACAGCCTCATACTTGTAGTTGTAGCTGAGGCCAGTAACTATTGACCAGCACCTATACCGAAGTGATCACTGCATTGTCGTGTCTGCAACTGCTCACACGCCGCACAAGAACACACGGGTGCCAACATGATTCGTCCAAGTGACGATGTCCGTTGATGTCAAGCCCCAATTGGCCTCAAAAACCCGCTGTTCATGGACCGGGGCTGCTTATAAATGAAATAACTGGAAACAGAAGATGGGATTTCTGCCAATGGTAGTCTCGCTCAAATTATCGCGGTGATTAGCAAACGGGCAACCGTTTCAGTGTTTCACTCCCACTTGCCGTCCGTCGGTGCCGCCAGCTGCAGGGCACCTGTGCTCTCAGAAATTCATGTTGCTGACGGGGTTCGGACTCGGAGTGGTCGAGGACGTAGTTTGGCACCGAGTAGATCGAGCCGAAGGCTTGCAACATCGCCTCCTTTGCAGAAACTCCCCCTCTAAGCTGCCCAAACAGGACTGGCATTGGCAGCAGGAGACTACATCAACTAAGTGCCCAGAAAGTGCTTCGCATGTTTCATAGTTGGGACCAGCACTTATCAATAGATCACTCTCCAAGCCCGGTGCCCAGTACTGTTTCAGAGTCTCTGGATCCAGTTGGGCGCGAACCTTATTCCTCAGCTGCAAGGTGTTCAGCAAGTAGCAAAATTACATGCGTCGATTGCCGTCTGTTGCACGACCCGGTATATCTCTGGAAGCCTCTGAGGCGAAGCACGCGAGGAAAATGACATACTGCACGAGCACAAAGCCCACAGGGCAGGCCAAAAATCCTGCAAACTCCTCCGGCCCCCATTTCCTCAGCACAGCAATCGGGTCAATGAGATCAAGGGTCAGGATTCCGATGCCGGCTATGGAAGTTATTTGATGTTATTTGTATAGAAGCCTCCATGTAGAACAATTCGGCCGCTCTCCAAGTTTGGGGCGCCGTGGCTAGACCACTTACCAGGCGGAAGAAGCATGGTTTATGGAACGTTAACAGCTACTCAGCTAACACGTTTTGCCTAACGGGAGGATAAGCTGGGGGTCGCAGGTGCCGCCGATGTTTCACCCCCCTGTGGCCTGCATCATCGGTGTTCTTTTGTGGATTTGTTTTGTCGCGCGTGCAAGTGGGTGCTGGGGCTTCGTTCTGTTTTGCACGGCCAACAGCAGCATCTTTGTTCCCTGACCTGGCCGTTCATGGCTCCTTTGTGGCTGCGAAAAATTTACATGCTGTAAATCTTGTGGTTTCTTCATGTTTGACGGATGCGCTGGTTAAAAGCGTCGTTCTTACAAAACAAACATCGTTTTTGTGAGCATCCGGGTGGGACAAGGTCGTCCCTTGGGGGCCGGCGCAGCGAGCATCACGACTTCAGGGCTTTCTTCGGGGTGCAGGTGCCGCAAGCAAGAATAACGAAATCAAGTAAGCAGCCCGTGGCTCCCGTTGAAAGTGGCGGCAGCCGGCGGAACCCAAAGGACCCGTAATGACCCGTAGCTGATGCTCGTGAGACGCATCGCCCCAACTCGCAAAGGATCCCTAAAAAGAACGCCTAAGAAGCCCCTAACACATCCCCAAACCCTACATTTCCTTGAAGAATTCCTTGAAGGATCACTAAGACAACAAAACCTTTGAAGGAGCCGTTAAAGGAGTTCGAAGCCCTACCGTTGCTGAAAGGATTCCTTGAAAGGATCCCTGAAAGGAACCCTCACAGGAGCCTGTAAGGGATGATCTAGGGAATCTTTCAAAGGAAGAGTATCTTAAGGGTTCCTCTAAGGGATCTGATTCCTTTAAGGGATCTTTCAAGAAAAGATTTTAAGGAAGCGAAGGGCGCCTTGAGCCGTTCTATGACCCTGACTTGGGCCATCCCAACATCTCTCCTGAGAGCGCTGCTATGGCTTTACACGCCACCCCTCCATACCAATCCACCTTGCTCACGCTCAAACGTCGCGGTTCTGTTTTGTTGCCGCGCTTGCCAACAGCACAACAATCTGGCACACAGCTCTGGGGAGCGTCTTGAACAGAACTCACGGAGAGCAGCCGGCTGCATAGAGAAGAGAGCACGGATTGGAACAAGCAACGGACAACACCACTGAACATGTGCGAACGGCCATATTCATCAGAAGCAGTTCTTGTAAGGACCGAATAAATAGCTAATAGCTACGGCATCCCAAGTGACAACGTCGAGTCACCTAGACTGCGCAGGCCAACAGCTGGCCAAATGGACAGAGGGCTGGGGTGGCTGGAGAACATTTTCCAACACTTTACAGAGTGTTCTCGACATTTGATGCCCGTGTCAATTTCCCGCGGAGAATCTCGAGAAACTCTATCTCCAAAAAGTAATTGTCGGAATAGTCTGGCGGAGAAGCCGCACTTCCACCACTGCAATGAAACAAGCTCCGCAGGCTCAAGTCTAAACTGCTCGGAGGAATGTAAGATACACATAATGAGTGTCCAGCTGTCTTCTTGGTCTCTTTGAGGTGGCGTACTTCCGACCAGGCGTGCTGTATTTTCTTTCGTTGACTGCCAACAGGCGAGACTATCTCCCGCAGCCGATCGAACCACCCACCCACTCACACCAATCTGTTCTTGACTCTGACATTACAGTGCGGAAAGACAGCTCAGGTCGAACATCCACGTCGTATGATTCGCAATTTCTAATTTAATTAATGGCTGCCCTCCTCTCCAACTCACGGCCACAGATCAGAAACGACGGCGAGCCGCGGCGGATCATCGAAGAGCTGGGAGAAGTGCGCCTAATTAGCTCGCCGCACTCGGGGTCACATATGCATAATCTTCCGTGCATTTGCAAGGATGTTTGGGAAAGCAGAAGGATGTGTCTGTCAGGACGGTCTAAGCTCTGCCTTCTGAAGCACCAGCGGCAAGTCGATCAGGTCCGCGATTCGCGTTTCGACTGCTGAGCCGTTCCTGGTAGCTCAAGGTGCTGGAGCTGCCATCACGAACCCCGTCGAGAAAAAAATACAGCTTCAGCACCTGTCTCTACAGCATACGCCCAGCCGTATATATGCTTCTGAAGCACGCGAATGTGAGGCCGGGGACGGTCTTAGCAATGGAGAAGCTTCAACCAGCATTACCACGCGCAAGTCAACACTGCAGGAGCTGCGCAAAATAACTTTGACCCACTTGATCAATTAAGTTTGTCTTTCTTCGTTTGGCAGCAAGCCATGTCGCCCATGTGCATGGACACATTCAGCCAGGAGCTCGAGACCCAAGAGCTGGAGAGAGCCGCTGTGGAGGTGTTGCTCTGAGAAGTTTGGAGCTTTGTGGGGGGCGGTATTTCTCCTGGCTCCTGGTACCTAGGGGGCATCTTGTCCTGAATAGCAGGCTGGGCCAAACTCATGATTCATGGATCTCAGGGACAAGACAAGAGCCGAGCTTCATTGGTTCGAGTCGGAAGCTGGATTGCCCAAAGCAAACTGCAAACACTATGCCGGACGCCGGTGGCAGGAGCTGAAACGATGGACAGCTCACACTCGCCCACCACAAGTGCGTGAAAGTGTGTGGATGAGAAAACTGGACAATCGCTCTCTCTTTGGTTGTGGGTTTGCCCGGTCTGAAGTGGCTTGCCAAGCTGCCATGATCATCTCGCCTCCACTGTCCCGCCGACGGAAGAGGTCTTCCTGCTCAGCTTTGCTGAACTTAGGAGTTTAATAGTCTGAGCAAGCAATGCCAGCCCCGATGTGACACAATTCAGCTTCAACGGCCATGAGCGACAACACAATCCAAAATCTCCTGGAAATGCTCATAGTCCGTCCATTTCCTCCCCAGGCAGTGTTGCAGGTTCCCTTCGCTTGCTCCCGTTCGCAATGGTTCTGACAACGTCAGGCCTCACGGCGAGCTGAAGTGTGGTCTCCCCAAAAACCTGACCGGGACGCACTGAAGCCTTCGGCATGCCCGAGACCCTTAAGCAAGACAAGTAGCACCCTCGGTGAGGAGGGCTTGTCGAAACACTGGCCAGAAGCCGTGGTCTTGACCAAGGCCTTCCTTCAAAAAAGGCGGATGTCGCGGCTTTCGATTCTCACAGGTTGGCTAGCCCAGACTTGCTTGAGATCAAAGCGTGTCATGGCGGGTCTGTCTGCTCACGTCTGTCCACCGCTTCACCGACATCAAGCAGCCGCCAGCCAAGCGTCGCAATCCAAGAATGCCGCAGCCCTCCTGGCAAGAACTGCAATGGGGGCATTTTTTGGGCGCCCGCATGGCAGCATCCGTAGGCACTACATAGCGGGTGTCCATGCGGCTAAGAGAACTACGGCACTGCCCACTCCGAAACGAACTCACTAACCCAACCCACCCACCAACCAAAGCCAACCAATGCCCCCATTGGTTCTCTCTGTTTCTTGAGGAGTAAGCTGCTAAACGTGAGAGTGCTTATCTGTCATCACTGCTGATGCTTGCACCATGAAGTGAGGAAACTTGAGGTGGTAAGGCTAAGGGAATTATTCCAAGCTTAGCTGCACCTCGCACTGGCGCAGTGGTTTACGGTCCAAGTGGCTCCGGCGTTGGCGGATCTGCATCCTGCTGGTGGGCAAACTACTATATACGTGGGTCCGGGTCCAAGGTCCACCACTCACGCAAGTCCTTGAGCCAAGATTGTTCGTCGAAACTGCCTAAGATCAGCAGTTCAGGGAATCGCGAAGCTCTGCAATGCTGTCGGTGAAGAGTCAGTGAAGAGTGGTAGGCCGCTGAAGCTGAAGTGCTTTCCGCAGGCTGAGGCAAGCTCCGTCTGCTGAGGTGAGCGATGCACTTGCCGTCAAAGCAGAAACATACCAAAAACGCTGGCTGAAGACCTGTCGAAACGATTCATGTGCTGACCAACGGACCCAAACCGCAGGGTGGGAATGCAAGCCTATATCTCAAATGTAGTTGTGCCACACTGAGTGCCAGACCGGAAGCGTACAGGTCGCAGCCAGCAGCATTGCAAGCTTCGGCGACATGCTGTCAACTCTGAGGACTATCCAGGACTATCCAATTGCTCAGATTTCTACCTGATATACCCGGAGCACATCAACGGAGGCTTTGACCATCTGCAAGTTCTGCCACTAGTCGAGCGTCGATGCTCAGCTCGCCACTTGCAGTGTGTGCTTAATTTAGGCATGTCCCCAACGAAATCCACGAAAACTGCATGACTGTTGCACATTGAAGCAACGAGCCATGAGGTCAAGCACACTGTGGGCCGTAGGGCCCAAGCGCCGCTCCGCACGTGCTGCCAGCTCCCCCTGGCCAAGGGATCTTTTCGCTCACAACAAAGCCAGGAAGAGCGGTTGGCTGTTTGTCCATCAGGTGTCAGGCAAGCACGACCGCTCGCAGCACCTATCCTATACAGACTTAGAGGCAACGACCTCTAAAGCCTTGTGGGTCGCGCATCGCTCATGGGGCGAGAGCCTGCTCCGCGGCTCGGGTGGCTGCGTAAGCGGCCTCGGGTCAGCCGAAGTCACGCATTTCCCTGCATGGGACTGCAAAGCTGTAGCCACGACACCGCCAGGCCTTCTCCTCCAACCTCTGCTTCAACTCAATCTGGTCACTCTGCGTGATCTCCTTGGCAACTGTGTTCTCGATCATTTCATATCATTTCCAAAGGTTCAATTATGGAGTAATATTGGCCTTTTGGAAATTGATCGCACGTACATCGGTTTTGCAGACCCTTCTATCAAGCATGCGCAGACGCAAAGAAGCAAACCATCAGTCCGATAAGTTCCAAGCACGTCCGCTTTCCGCCTGTCGCAACCTCGCAGTTAGCTCGAAGAGTTCGGCCTGATGTGCCGATGCAGGGATTCGGGACTGGAGATTGCTGCTGTTGCTGCGGTGGTGCCTGCAAACGGCGCTCAGCGTCGCCAGCGGCACGACCGGCAGCATCCTGTGCCGAGAAAGGAGCAGAGCGAAGAGGAGAGAGTGATGCTCTGCGATGTGCTGGCACGAGCGCCGCTTGCGCCTGCACCGCTTGCGATGCCTGGACCGCCTCGAGAAAGCAGAGCATGTTCCGCAGTCTGCCGCCTCTGCCAAAGAACCCGGTTCTCGTCGCCGCTCCTCCTCACTTGCTGCCAGCCGCTGATGGAGCTTTCCTATTTCGACCTGGCCGCTGCAGCAGTCCAAGGTCCAAGTTGATGGTACCAGAACTAAACACAAACACGCGAATTAATGCTCTGATATTTCTCTGCACGATGCCGTGCTGCTAGCTCCGGTCTATGTCACGTGCCAATCCCTTGCAAGCTGCAAGTCCGCTGTGTTGCTGAAGCTGCCCTTTTCAGCGCAGAGGAAACTTTTTCTAGGCTGTTGAGCCGAACAATGCCGAACACTTACCTGCCCAGTCGGAGGAAGCCCTGGCTGCTGGCCCGGGGATGCCATTTGCAAGGGTACACTGACCAGTTTTTCGTGTCCCAGCCTGCGCAGCCTGCGCTAAGGTGCGCTGATGAGATGCCTGCACCAAATAGAAACAGCAAATGTCAGCAGGGCGCTGCAGAGTCGCTTCCTACAGAAAGACTGTGGCCTCGCCGTTGGCTGCGTCCAAGCACTGCTGCAAGCGCTCCACCTGCAAAACGAGGTGTGAACAAACCTTCACGCACTGGCTCGCGACTTCATGACCCGTGTCTCGCGATGACTACAGCCGTGCCAGCAGCAAGCACAGGAGAGAGCCAGGCACCGGAAAGACTCGCAGGCAAGTAAGCAAGTAGATGGACTCTTCGCTTTGCAGTACGAAGCCTCGCGCGATTCGGCATGGAGCTTCTTCCGCAGCTCTGACAGCTGTGCCTGAGGCCGTGCGGCAGCAACACTGCTGATGTGCCGGCTCGGTCCGCATCGAAGCGGTCCTGCGCCCGATTCATCTCCACTTCCGCCTGGCGCTGCACATCCGCAGGAACGGTTGAGTTAAGAGGCCAAGCAATGCAAGTCAAAGCGGACCAGCCAAGATGCTTCAACAAGGCGGCAAGGTCTTGGCGCCTGAAGTCGGGTGGAAGATCGCGGACGTCGCATCGAGCGGCTGGGAAGGCCTTGGTTCGGGCCCAGAAGCGAAATAAGAAGATGATCTGAGCCTTACAGTAAATAAAGCGCAGCACCTGCATGACTGGGGAAGTTTCATCATGGCTTGCTTCAAATGTTTCAGAACATCCCGCTCATACCAACTGCATGTTGCAGTCAAATTCGTACATCCCTTTGCTGCGTGCCCACTCTCACACAGATATTCAAAAATGCCATGCGCATTACAGGCGTCTAGTACTGAGCACGCCGGGGTCTCGTGATCTCTGCCTGTCGAGGTTTGCAGTTCGCGCAACGCAAAGCTTGGCCTCAAGATCAGCCGAGCTCCCCACCATCTACACCAGGGATACTGCTCCCAGCACCTCTGTCAGTTGCAGCCAGGCTGTCAGGTGCGGGCAGCCTTGAATCTGAGCATCTCTGAGCCTTGCAGCCTCCTCGACGGCTCCCAGGCTACATTGCGCCCCATGCCAGGTCTCCGACTGAGAGGCCGCGTCTCAAAGGCCTCCCAGATTTCAAAGGCCTGGCAGGACATGGGCAAAGAGCCGGGTCTGAGTTGATGCATGTTATCCGCTATAGTGCGATGCGAAGCGATTTTGGATTTGAATTGCGCTCCGGCCAGATTAACGCGTTTGCCCGCTGGGGATTAAGTTATTCGGCACGACCTTATCCAAAAACATTCTAGGTCATCCGGCAGAAATGACACTTGCTTCAGCGAACAAACAGCGGCCCTCTCCGCAGCTAATGCTTTTTGGGTGTCCTGATCGAATCCGGCTTCTAAATGGGATGGGCACAGCATTTTGCATGCCCTCGCGCGTGGCAGGAAGGTCGAGAGTGACCCACCGTGCCGTGGAAAGGGCTCCAAAAATGCAAGTAGACACGAAGCAGGGTGCAAGATTTTCAATTGAGGGGAATCTTCAAATCATCTAGATGCGAACCTCTGTTAATGTACAACTGCAGGCCAGAGTTAACGTCAGATTCCAACCGATATTATATATACCCGTATAATATACCAATCACATCTGCCGTGCAGAACATGCCTCCGGGCGTGCCATCTGGGCCTGGGTGGCCGTGCGGTGCGATCCATGAAGCGCACTGGCTCCAGCGTCGGTTGCATCAGAGTACCACGAACATCCACATCACACCCCAAGCACATGCTGCAGTAAAGGACCTCTGCTGGAAATCGACATAGTCTCGTGTGTGTAGGGCAAGGCCGGCCGTATTTTGGTCCCAGCCGACTCGCTGAATCGAAAGGTGGCAAATTGCCGACCCGCCAAGTCTGCAGCGTCGCGCAGCATTGCGGAGTCTTACCTTGCGCTGAAGCGGTGCCCAAAAATGCATCGAAAGGAACTGAAGCGCCTGAACCATCACTCAATACTTGATAGACAAGTAAGCAACAAAATAACAACAACGTGAACAACATCCGATAAACGAACATACAATTTAAGAATCTTGGGGCCGGTGGCGACTGAACCATCACTCAATACTTGATAGACAAGTAAGCAACAAAATAACAACAACGTGAACAACATGACAATTGCAACACAGCGTGCTGATGACCAACTCTGTGATATTGTTCCGGCTAAATGGACTAAACCGCGTTTACGCTCGTAACTGCTGCCTCCGGCACTACCATGACAGCGACTGCCCTGCCGTTACATCAGTGTCGCGCGCAATCAGCCCGCAGGTTTCGAATATCCAAGTCCAATTGGGGTCACTTCTGAGAGAGAGGCAGGGAGCGAGAGACAGCAAGAGGAGAGAGACAAAGAGAGAGAGAGAGAGAGAGAAACAAAAAAAGAGATAACGAGAGCGCGAGAGGGCGGGCGGGCAAGGGGGGGGCAGGAAGGGAGGGAGGCACAGAGAGGCTTCGACTGAGACGAGCCGGCATCTGGTGCCGATGGGACTTGTGATCTACACCACTGGGTAGCAAGACTGTCATGCTGCGTCCAAGCTGCCATGCAGACAGTCCAAAACGAGCTGAAGCTCCTTCGCATCTCTCCACCGATAGTGGGGTACATTGGCCCCCGACTCAACCGGCCCTGGCCGAACAAACAAACAGACAGAGTCAGAGAGACACACACACACACACACACGCACTCACGCAAGCATGCACAGAAACGCTGACAAACGGACAGACCAGAAAGTTTCCCACTCGGGTTCGTTTGCAGCTTTTCAAAATTTTCATAGCCGTTCGCCAGGCTGAATGGGTGAATGGCACTGCGACCTGATGCGACAACCCCAAATCCCAAACCAAAAGATTCTTCTCGTGTGGATCGCCCAACAATGCAAAACGAAAAAGCACGAAGACTCTCATGACGACCACGACATACCACGACCACTGCACTTTCTCTTGTGGAATTTCAGCCGCTAGAGTTGGGCACAACTGAACCCGTGAAAATGATTGCAGCTGTCACAACTTGCAAGACTTCCACTCAGCACAGCCCCGGCCCCCAACGAAAACGAAGCTGTACACGAACGTTCTGGGTGTTGCCTAAATAGTATAACCAGTTAATTCATAAATTACGAAATTTAAACCATGTTGCTAACGAGTTAGCTGAAACCACAAACCAGATAAATAGAATTGAAAAATTACAATTCTCAGAGCAGGAAAAACAAAAGCTGAAGAAGGCAACTTTCAAGACAAGTGTGCATGCATGGCATGCATGTATAGTGCATTCATGCCATGACGATCTCTTGTCTTGCATGGCATGCATGTGCATGGCATTCAGAGAATGGCATGCATGTGCGCATGAGCTGTTAAATTGAGTTTCGGTGCATGCATATAACTTTCAAGTTTGCATGATTGCAACCCTATAAAGCTTAAGCCGCCCTAAACTCTATATAAAAACCCTATACCCTAAACCGTTGCATGGAGCACAGCTGCTGAGCATGTTTTTGCACCAGCTCGCATTCAGATCGCAGTACATGACTCTGAAAGCTGGATTGCGGATGCTCTGATCGTGGCCACATATGTGGCATGCTGCATGGGCCCATGGATTGCTTGCATTTCTGCCATGGGCAAAAGAATTAAATGGCGGCTTGCCATGCACGCCTAGCCCATTCTTTGGCGCTTCGTCGGGGTCTCAGTCGGGCTGTTCTCGTCCTCGTAATTGTGGCGAAACCATTTCCACTACCAGATCTTCAATAGCATCTTGCATGCAAGCAGAGATGGCATGATAACGCAGACGTCGGCCGAGGCTCGGCACCCTTGCGACATCTGTTCGCTTCCAGCACCACCTCCATTCAATCCTCCTAGGAGGAACCGATCGGCTGCGGTCCGGGCTGCTATCACGACGAGGCATAGTGTATAGGCACGTCTTGAGAAATAAAATGCTGCATGCATGAGTGCATGGAAATGCTTTAAACAAAAGGAAACAGCATGGATTGAATTAAACTCATTGCATGTCCATGTAATGCATGCAACCGTGCCTATACAATCCCCTGTTGAAGTATGCATGGTGATGCATGCATGCATGCATGCATGCATGCATGCTGGGCATGCTTCCAAGAACCATGCATGCCACTATATGTATATAGCAAGCATGACAGCATGGAAAGCAGCATAAACAGACACATGCATGCAAGTCAACCAAGCATGAACACATGCAAGGCAAGCATGAAACTTGCATGCGCATATACACGGCAATTTTTGGTTTTCCTTGTTCATGGCACAGGTCGCAAAGAGGCAGGCGCGGGTGCCATCATGGGCTTTACGACACTGCATAGCAGGTCATCGGCATAGCTGATGTAAATCCGGGGGTCACCTGCTTCTTCACAAAACTTGAGCATATTCTGGTCCCATCGCTGCTGAAGGAAAGTCACCAGACGGCATCACCAAAGCAGCTTTGTGCAGCTCGATGTAGTCATGCACTTTCGCACATGTAAAAGCACAATCAGGGCCCGGTTCACTTGCATGAGGCGCCATGTCGCCTCCCTTGACGATAGTCCCATGTCTCAGTCTCATCATGGTGCTTGGCATGCATTCATCTTCCTGCCTCATCGTATCACATTATACTGAATCAACATTCGCTTCAGCTTGGCCGTGGCAACATGCGGCTGCAGCACGTGTGCTGGCAAAGAATGCATGAACTTTTTATGCTCTCATACAAGTCAAGACCAACCATGCAAGACATGCAACAAAACTTGCAGGGTCATGCTGACAAAACTAGGCTGCAAAGCACTTAAGTTATAGTCGGGACATGCCTGCATGCATGAATTCAACCCATGCAACTCCATAAATCAACGCATGGTACAAGGATATGGCCAAGTGCATGTCAACAAGCCACGGCAAAAGTGTTCATATAACCCGAAAGTACATTCGATAGATACGAAATCCAAACATCGAATTTGCTGTTCTCGATTTGGAAAAATACAGTTGTCTGAGTCGTTAGCAGTATAAGCCAACTCATTAGCTTTTTTAAACTTGAGATAACAAAATTACAAAATTGCTTAAGCATTTAAACAACATCACGAATACTATAATTCTTTACTACCACTTTACTACTTGCTAGCTACTAAGTTACTACAACTGTAGTAAGTTAGCAACACCCAGAACATTCAAGCAGGCTCGTGGCCGGCGAACCAGAATTCCGCTTGTGGCGCTGTGGACGTGGAAAACTCAGCACCAGGTAATCTTTCTGCAAGGTCGCGATGAGGGAATCCGATTTCTTTGGACTGTGGACTGTCTGCCCAAAATGTCCAACATATATTTGTAGACGGAAGACATGCTAGTCTAAACTTCTGACAGGCAGCAGTAACGCAAGACTCCAAGTCATGTCCCTGGTGTCCTCCGGTGCATCTGAGGATGCGCAACAGCGCCGGCCGATGCCATCCATAAACCCCAGAAAGTACCTTATATCCATAATTCACAGAAGAGTTAAGTGAAATGATTGCGCCAGCTCAGAACATCGATTTTCCACTCCACCCTTGCCTGAGCATGCAGTTCTGCCGCGCCTGTGAAGAAAATTCCGTCGGCAAAACTGCGAATCTCGCAGGAAGGTCGCTAAAGATGTGTAGCGGCCATCTGTTACCTCAGCTGATTCCTTGCACGTCTTCCTCACATTCAGAGTTTTATGTCGGCATCAAAGCGGAGCAGCCGTTTACAGTTTCTGCGACTCTGAAACACTTGTTTTGTCGAAAGGTCGTCCGACGGTCGTCCTGAACGAACATCCGCCCGGCATGCCGTCAGAAAACATGTCATGATATGTAACAAAGTGGGGAGGTCATGTCCAAGTGCCGACATTGAAAACCCGCATGTTGCACTCCTGTCCCCAGCGAAACTGGCGAGCATCTGTACGATTGCTGAATTCAGCGCAGATCAAAGTTCAAAGCAACCTCCAGAACGAGCGGCTGTGGGGTGACCTTTGTGTGCCAAGTGTGACCGGATTTGGTGCCGGCGGCCAGTGCCAATACCTGCGAGAACGGGAGACTGCGAGAACTCATTTGTACACTGCACTGCAGTTGCGCTGTTAAAGGATGTTGAAGGCGAGGAGCGGATCACTACCAGCGTCACTCCAGCACTGTGGTGCTCGGCGTGGGCCGCAACCTGCAACTCTGGGGCATTGCAAGATGCAGCAAACGCCCGCAAGCTGTACACGCACAACCAACACACACACACACACTCTCTCTCTCTCTCTCTGTCTCTCGCAGGCCGGAGGTCTCTCTCGCTCTTCTTCTTCCATTGGGCATAGGGCAGTGTGCTGTGGGGCATTGGGAAGATGGTGAAGAAGAGCCGGGGTGTTCAATACTTTGACAACAATGTCTTTACGTGCTCCGTAATAGCGAAGAGTATTCACTCCCGGACTATGGACATGACTTAACGCGAGGATGTGTTTGTCCCCCTTGTGTTGTTTGCCAACCAGCTGGTATTACATAGAAAACGGACATGCAAGAATGTATCAACTGTTGGGGGTTACACATGCATGCCAACGGGGGCCTTTACATGGCTCCTTCCGCGGGTAGGGCTGTCCACTAGTCTATGTCCCCCGCGGAGAACCGTGCAATTACAGCGGTACAAGTGAACACCAACCTCCACCTCAGTGCACATAACGACACTTTAGGCGCACCGTTCCCCTGAGCTTCCGGCGAGTGCAGAAGGTTGCTAAGCATACACTGCAGCTGAGCCCCGGCGTTTGTACACACGCTAAGACATGCTTAAGAAGATACGGAGGGATTATGCATTACAACGAGGTGTCCGGGGCCGGGTTCCAAGGCTGTGCCCTAAAGGGAAAACCTGCGTAATAAGCCATCCTTCTGGAGGTTAGTAGCACGTCAATAGCCCACAAGCACTTCGTGTAGAGATCTCCCTGTACAGTATCGGTGTCGTGTGGCCCTGAACGTTGTCCCCGGCCACGGTAATTAATTAATCTAACAGGTGCTCGAACAAGTAAAAAAGCTGGCCTAAGATGCAAAACAAAACTATACTTTGCACATGGGGACATACGTTCTGTAAGGTGGACAAGGGGAAACTAGTTTACAGCTGTCGTCCCCCGCTCAGATTCTTGTCTCTCAGTGCAGGCTCGTGTAAGGCGGCACGCTCTCGAGACCAGCGCCATCACATCCCCGTTCGTGGAGATGTACTGCAAGGAGTCGACGCCGTCGGTGGCTATCATTGGAACCATCGTCCCCCGGATCGGTGCTGTTGTCTCTGGGTCGTCTCGACGATCCCCGTCTCGGACTGGGCGGTTCCCAGAAGCTTGCCTGGGACCTTGCTATGTCCGCCATGCCATGATGCCTGTCGCACGTTCACGTCCTGCCCCCCCCTGTGCGCCCCCCCGCCGGATGCTGCTGTGTGCGTGGTGCCCGGTTTTCTCGCCCGTCAGTGCAGGAGGCCTGTTCAAAGCAAGCGGTCTGTTCGAGTGCGAAACCTGGGGCCCACCTTCGACATTTGTATCTGCCTAGCCTCGACTCCACTGACACAACTTGCCCACTTGCTTAGATGTGCTATATAGGGCATACTCGATGCGGAAACAATTATTTGAGCGGGTAGTCCCTGGAGTTTACTTGCGCATCCCTGCACGGTAACACATACTGAATTCTCCCTCGCGAGGTTAGGATGTGCTAGGCTGGTGAACCTTAGGACGAGCCAGGCTGCCTCCACTCTCACAGAGCACTGCAAAACTCTGCTTCAGGCCGTGCAAGTGCATTGTGTGCAATGATGCATACGGAATTCATACGGATGCATGCGGCCAAGGGCCTTGACATGTGTGAGGCCTGGCTTGCCACGGCCCCCAGACATGGTTCTGCCACCGTCCTGCATGAGTGCAAGATTGGGCGGGCTTTCGGCTGGTACTACCAGCAAAGTAAGCCTAGTATTGGACACCACGATGTCTTCATGATAAGTACCTGTAGCATCGGTTAGGATCGTGCCCCGGATCGTCGATGTTCTTGACCGCCAGCGAAACAGAAGACTTGACATAATGGCAGGTCTCGGCTGCATCAACCGAGCGTCCTCGATCATTACCTTGGAACGGCAGAGGAGCGTTTCGATTGTTGCTGGCCTGTTAGCCGTCAGCCGACATTGAAAGTTCAGTCCAAATCAAGCATGGTGGTTTGGGCACCTGGGCCGAGATGTCGGTGACCGCCGGCTCCATCCAACCGTGGCTCAGCACCACATAATCCTGAGAGTGGTGGGAGAGCGGCAAGAACCCTGCGGGCAGAATATTGGCAACAACCGTGCAAGTGTTGCCAGACCAAGTGAAGTCCGAGCCGGCCGACGGTGTCACGCAAACACACACACACACACACAATACAAACAAAAGAGTTTGGAGTCGGCACCGCTCTCTGCGATGATCCATGCAATCCATTGTTCGCGACTATGTCAAGATCGTCGCGGGTCTCGGTGATGACAGAACATGTCAACGGTCATTCTGTCGCGGAACGGCTCTCGTCTTCTTCTTCCCACACAGCCAAAGAGCAACGCTCGGGCGTTACCCCCGCGCAGCATGCGCACTGGTCTAAGTCCGGTGTGATACATGCTTTTTTGGGATGAGGGTCGGACCTGAGCTTGTGGAACGGATCTCTCTCTCTCGCTGTCGCGGAACGGTGCCGACGTTTGTTCACCTGAAGAGATTAAAAAGGGGTTGCAGATGAAGCACAACAACAGAATTGCATGTCCCGCTGGTTGGCAGTTGTGAAAACCACTTCCATCTCAAAGTGTCATCAGGACGAATCATGCGAAGCTTGCAAGAAGAATGTGATCATGATGATGGTGAAGATGATGATGTCACAGGCATCACTGCAGGTACGTCGGGATGGTCAGCCTCGATGTCAGCATGTCTGGTGCGGCCGTTCCGTTGAAGCATCGTGCACGGCAACCGCATACTGTACTGTTGGATTTCTCTGTTAAATCATCAAATAATCGTAAATAAAACCCTCCGCCTCACATGTTATCACTTCCCCCTTTTAGTAAACACCGCCCTCATAATAAGAGCACGTTGGGGCGAATTATCCCGAAATCATGCCTGCGCTTTAACACCTGTTCTCAATTTTTTCGAGGGCTTCAGGGCTCCGAATATCCGTAGAGCACAGTGAGAGCAACAGCAAGAGCAGGATGAGCAAGAGCAGGAGGAAGAGTAAAGCCGGAGCATCAGCAAGAGCAAAGCAAAAGCAAGAGCGGTAGTAAGAGCAAGAGCAGAAGCAACAGCCGGAGCAACAGCAAGAGCAGGAGCAGGCGCAAGAGACGCAGCATGACGCAGCAGAAGCAGGAGCAAAAGCCAGCACGGGAGCAAAAGCCAGAGCAGTTGCAAGAGCACGACCTCTCAAAAGTGGCAGTAGAGATAAACATACCCCCTAATGAGCATCATACTTTCCGACCTTTGTTGTGGGGGAGTTGCGGGGAAACGATCACACGGGTTCCATGTATGTGTATATATGTAGACACACACACACATGCAAGAACGCTCAATCGCCGGCAAGAGTCTCGCAAAATTTGACCAGTCACCAATTGCACCTTGCAGGGCCAACCCTGCAATAGGAGATGATCACTCTCGCAGAGCAAACAAGAAATCAAGCAAGGCATGCAAGTGCCTGCAGATCATAGTAACACTCGAAGGATTTGGCAGCCAAGATTAGTCCAGAACTTGGCACATCTAAGCGGTGGAGGAAGCCTGAGCATCTTTGTTCGCAAACCTACATCATGAGCTGCTGCACTTGTTGTGCACAAACCAACTGCACCAGGTAACGCTGAACAGACTGCCCCAAACACCGAAGCTCTAAATGCTGCCCGCGTACCATGCTCGTGCTCCTCATCGTGCAGAATCGGCAACTTATTGCCTAGGATGAGTACCCTTCATCTTCACAGCGTCATTCTTTGCAGGTGCAAGGATCCATGATCTACGCTACTGCAGCAGACAAGGTTTACGGGGCTTCTGTTTTGGAGGCGAGGCCGGCGTGATTTAGTTGCAGTGACTTGTGGCCAGGGCTTTAAATTTAAATCTTGACTGGAAGCACCTCTGGCCACGCGTGCAATCACAGCGAAATTGGCAGGCACCATTAGCAATTTATGGACCTACGGCACTGGGCAGTAAAGGGTACACCCAGAGCATGATAGCATGTTCTTTATGGGTCCAGTTTGTTAAGTGAAAACTTTCTCGGAATTATTGCTTTCCTTTCGCGGACCCATCGCAGATCTTTCGCAGACACATTGCTTTACATCAAAAAACTTTTGTAAAACATCCGCAGACAAGGAACTTTATATCAATGCTGGGGTCTTGTTAGATTCGAGGTTGTTGGAGATCAGTTGTTGGAAGGACACTCGCAGAGACAACAAGCTATGGTACTACACGTACTTGCTACGACACGAATTAAAGGTCAACAAACCATGACTGCAGTACTCATTAGAGCTCATGAGGATGTGATCAGATGCGATGATGCTTGAAGGCATTCCTCGATGGAGCTTGAACTTACGCTCTCGCACAGGTTCGTAAGCAGCAGTTCCTGCTAACATCTGCTAGTGATATCAGGCTGGAGTAGCAATACACTCGGAGACTAGACTTAGATGCTGCTGTGCACTGCAATCGTCGCAACGACTCTTTCGCCAAGGCTGGCAGTGAGCATGTGCATATGCGCCCGAAGCCGTCCATGTTGCAAGTAGCTTCCGCCGCCGCCAGACATCTGTGCCCTATTTATATAGGTGCAACCGCGACGCAATTACTCTACCTTAATTTATCCTGTCATATATTGTTGTTTATGAAAGCAGGTCGAAAATGGACCCAGCAAAACCCTTTGGTGCGCATCTCCAGAATTGGGTTTGCGCTTGCAGGTGTGGGTGCCGGCACTCTGAAGCAAAAGCTCATTGAGACTGCGTCAGAGGGGTCTTGGTAGGCCTGAAGGGCTTGCAGCGCTTCGAAGCCTTCAAGAGTAGCGTGAGGGGAGAGTGTCCATTTTACCTTTTAATTTCCCGTTGATATCAAGTTCCAGCCTGTCGAGGCCTCAGACGCGAAGAACTTAGAAACGATGACCCGGATGGTGCTCGTCGCACTGTGAGCCGGACACCGGTGGAAACTGGTGAATACAGGAAGTGAAAAGGCTCACCGACTCAGACCTGTTGCCAGGTTTGGGGGACTTGAAGTATCCTGGATGTGAGGAGCGGCTACCAGCAAGATGCGTGGGTCGCACACGAAAGGTTCGAGCTCGTTTCCTGGTGGGATACGAATGCAGGACTGAATCCACTAATGTTGGTGCACTCTCACATAACCCTCACCAACCGGCACATACAGGTGGAATGTCGCTTTGCTTCAAGCGCCGCTGGTCCTCGATTATGATGCTGCGAAGCCCGTGTCTGACAGATTACACATCTTATCATGAAGGGCTGCTGATGCCTCACGGAACATGCATTGGCTCCTATCCTCCCAAACTATGTCTCTCGTCCAGGTGGCAGAACATGGCAGACATGAAGCACGACAGCTGGGGTAAATCGGAGTTTTCGTCGTGGACTTCATAATCTGCGGGCTTGAAGAGGACCGCACCTGACTTGTGACTGGCACGGCCGCATGGTTGGCACACAGGATGCATTGCAGAGGCAGTGTAGATGTAGGTAGATTTGGGGTTGTCAACGCATGCCACATCTCACGTGCTCGTTTCAGCATGCTCGATATCTTTAGCCATCGCTGTCGCGGCTACAACAACTGCGGGTAAGTCCAAGCGACTGTCCGAGGCATCCAGCACAATCGCGGGCTGAGAATCATCGTGCACCAAGCGCTGGCTTCCTGGCCACATCGCTTCCTTCTTCCGCACACTTTGGGACCGGCAAAGCAAGCTCAGGAGCATGGTGCTTGAAGGCTGCCCCACTCCCTGCCTGGAGTTTTTGGAACGACCGTCTCCTGAATGCGATCCAACATTCCTGCCAGCATGTGACGCTTCACTGGCCGGGGACGTGCGCATGGTATAAATTAGGTCCAAGCCGGCAGGCAAGCTCACTATTTGCATTGATGACTGTCTAACACGCACTCCTCTTTGTGTTCAGTAAGTAATCATACTGGAATGACTTGCCTCCAAATCGGAGCAAGGCCGCACGAATTCGATGGTGGGCATCGGCCGTGAGGGTGCGAGAGAAGGTGCAGGCCCACAGCGAGCCTAGCTGAAACCGTGCCACATGCGGCTTCACTGGATGAAAACAGCCTCAGGTCTAGGCCCAAACAATCCAACGTCCATGCAATCTGCATCGGCCTGGGCAAGCTCGCCCAGTCCTGTAGCGAGGACAATCTGGAAATGCGTTTCAATCCATACACGGTGGACTAGACAGCAAGAGGGACCACATAACATAGTCCGGTGGACGCCCAGAATGCGGCTCAAGCTTCAAGTTTGTCTAGTCTGTCCGCTGCTTCCCGCTGGAAAGCCAACTGCACCTGCTGGTCCTGGACGAAAGCCGGCAGTGCAAGAAGCCGAACTGGGTCAATGAAGGACTGTGGTATTATGCGGCATGGCCGCTTTGTACGCCACTGTCCTTCGCACTGCCGCATGCGCCCCAAAGGACCTGAGTACTGGAAAAACGACAAGCAGCTGGAAAGAACTGTTCCCCTTGCCATGTGCCATGAATGCCACCGACAGCATCCCAAGTCTGTGCAGGGGGCCATTAGCAGTTCGCCGAAACGAAATGCATCGACTTGTTGGCGGGCGTACTTGCCTGTAACGGTGCCAGTGTTTGCCATCCCCCTCTGGTGCGCCGTGGAGTCTGCAGCAACTGCTGAAGCCAAGGCACTCAACGTTCTGGCAAAGGAAGGGCTGATCACACCCAACTTGGCTTTCGGATGCTGTCAGTGCTGTGGCAAGGTTCAACTTTGCCCATGTCGGTCGATGATCCACTTGGGGCCCGACCATGGAGGCTGACCACCTGGCCAACTTGACTTTCTCGCAACCAGATTGTAAGCCATAGGGCCACCTACGAGCCTACAAGTCCAGGCCCCGAAGCCCTGCCCCATCCTGATCGAAGGTGCCGAGGCACCAAAGGCTGGCCAATGCCATGGGTGTTGGTGCTTCGTGCCGGATCGCAGCAGCAGCCTGAAACCCAGGATGAAGGTTCGTCGAAAAAGAAGGCAAAAGCAGAAAGCACCCCGCGCTTGCAAGGCGATGCGAGGCGCTCCTCGGCCATGGCTCCATGTATGTCTTCAGCACTGGAGCCACCGCCCATGGAGGCCAGGGCCCACGGCCTGCAAACATTTCATGGCACAGCACAGCTGAACATTAGGCCAACACATGGCCAAGTCACATGAAGGAGACAAACTGCGCCGAGTCGGCGAGCTCCTGTCATGACGCGACGACGCGACCTACCTGGGCCTCTCCGCTACCGACATCGTGCAGTGGCGAAGCTGCACAAACCCTCGCCCTGACGAGCGCATCGCTACTTAGCTACTTCAAGCATCCACATCTCCTCGACATCGAGCACCAAGCCCAACGCTTCTTGCCCGGCTTGCCGCAGCAGCTGGTAGGTGATGAGGAAGCTTTTCTGCATGTCAAGGTTGCATGTCAAGACGCGTGATTGCCATAGGCCTAGCAGCTTGCATTGCATAGCTGGGATGTAGTGAACCTAGTGCGCACTGACAAGTGGTCCATGCTTTTGTGCACCAACAAGCCCTTGTTGTATGGGTAGGTCCTCGTCCAGAACGGCACGCGAAGTTGCGGCATGGCAGAGGAGCGAGAGTGCCCTAGACCACTCGCCTCGCACTGATCTCCCTCCCGTCCGACGTTTCAGGTGCAAAAGGAGACTCTCGCAAGATGCAGCCTACCCCCCCATGATCCCGATTGGCCCATGATCACAATGTCGCCTGCCGCGGACGCTGCAGAAGCAGCCGAGGTTCCTCGCGATGCTTTGCAACTCGTGCCAATACATGCATAATAAGTTCATCACGATATCAAGACAACACGCCATGCCCGGACTAAAAGATCTGCAAGGGAGCTTGCCAAGTGAACGAGAGTTGCATGCTTGCGAGATGAGCAGCTGCTGGCGATATCAAGCTTGACGGCAAAAGTCAGCCTGGAAACCAGCAAACCAAGCGGAATTCGAACTCCTACTAATACTGGGTCTGCAGAAGCAATCCATGAAGTCTGCTTGCAGCTCGAAATACACCAGATCCTCCGCCCTACACCCCAGTGCGGCGGTAAGTTGAAGGTTAAAATTAAAAACTATGGAGCAAGTTTATGGATGTTTATGGTAGCACATTGAGAACAGGGGGCGGTCTGAAGATATTTTTTTCGTTTCGAGCGAGATGGATGAGGGGTGCTATAAAATGATCGTTCGCCAGCGCTAGTCAGCTAGTCCTGACCCCTAAACCCACAACCTACTCTCGCTTGAAAGCGTGCTTTTGCTGTGAATGGAACACAGCCCATGGCCCAGACCTTTTGACATGCCCAGGCCAAGGGGCATCTCCATCAAGAGGCTGGCTGAGCGAATCCACTGACGACCATTCCTGAAGCCCAGAAACGAACGGCACTTTCTGCAATGCGCTTAGCTTCAGCTCGGCAATGCGTATGCCTCTCAACTGTTTAGCTTGTGCCTCGGCTAAGGTTTGGGTTTGTCGGGGGGGGAGTCCTGCAAGCCCCAAGGGCAGCAGCGTTGCAAGCAGCATCTCTTCCAGCACTGAGGGCAGCAAGGGCCCAATCCCAGGTAGAAGCCTCAACGTGACTGTCAACATCTCATTCAGACAGTATGGGATTCGAATGCGTGTAATCGTGAATGCTCTAACCGAAACGGGCGAAGGTTCCCGAAATTTCTTTCATGTCATCCACCAGATTTCGGGGTGTGCGAGGCTGTCCGGCACGAATGTCCTCTCCAGCCCCCCCCCCCCCCCCCCCCCTCTCCTTCCGTCGGCCCTGACTGCCATGCCACAAGGCTTAATCCTCAAATGCAAGAGTAGGCCACACCTCGCAGGGTTCGAGATTTGAGTGTGGCCGCTTCTTCGATTTGTTTGCATGCATCTACAAATGTCTACAGGCTTATCCTTGAGGACTTCAACTTCAACCCCCCAATCCCTACCCGCCCGACGTCAGGCGCCTCTGGACTCGACTGTCCCTGCCCCATGCGCCCTTGTCGATGTTGCGAGGCATTCGTCTAGCGATCCCACCACGCCTCCCTGCGTGGATTGAACCTGCTTGTGGCTCCTCTGCTTGGGTCTACTAGTACCTGGAGATGCGTTGTTACATAACAAACCATACAACACCAACCGAAGCAGGCTGATCGGTCCAAACATCAATTTCCGTAAAGGCGAAAGTGCACCAGTACACGAGCTCAAGAAGTGGTTTCGAGGCACAATGCATCAACTTTCAACATTTCTGTTCGAGATAATTAAGATGGGCGAAAATCGACGAAAAGTCGCACCTGCTGGCACGCGCGGATGGCCCCGCAGCAGGATGTTGCTTCCACACTGCTTTGCTGCATCTGCACCTGCATTCGATGCGGCTGTTGCTCTGAAGCAAGCGCAGCGATGCAACATAGTGTTCACTCCTTCCAGTCCTCACCTTCGCAAAGTACTGCAAGGCTTGAAGCCACTGTCCCTCTCTTGCTAAGTGGCCTCACCAGCCAGGAGGAAAAGTGTACGAGAACACAAGACCTGTTCTTAAGCATCAAGCGCAAGCTGTGCCTACCTGAGGCCTGACGCAATTTGAGGCAGGAAGCCAATGGCCGCGGTGTCGCTGGGTGCTGAAGCTCGCACGCCGCCGGATTGCATTGTGCGGAGCATCGCTGTGGCAGCAGCCCAAGCAGCTGACAAGGAGAGTTGAGACGAAGGGCACCAAAGGGCACACAAAAACAGAAAACGTCGAAAACCGTTCCTCCGACTCGACCACCACACAGGGCAGCACCATGAGCGAAAGCATCGGTGGAAAGGCGCTCGCATGGCATCGCCTTTCATACTGCCAAAAGTGTTTTAATTGATTTGCCATGCGGGCCCGCGCCTCTAAGGCCGCGCTTGCATGGCGCCAACGATCTCCTGCTTGCCATGCCTTCAGTGCAGGACGAGCCCAGCAAAGTCGACGCAGTTGGAGCAACGGAGACACGTTTTTTTCTCCCACGCAGGCCGCTGGTCCATCTCTATAGGTCACAGACATCACAGGCCTTCTAGGTCTCCAGGTCTGCGAGAAACTCCTTGAATTCCCCGCTTCTCCGATGTCCGAGTTGACCAAGCACAGTCCAACATTCAAATTAGCCAAGACTGCGCTGCAGTGTGCGAGGTTGCGAGCTCCGAAAAGTATCCATCTCTTGATGCGAGGACGACTTGCGGCCCAAATTAAGGAAAGCAGTTCAGGACCTGTGTCCATCAAACTGGATCCTGCGATGGCCGTGGCTCGATCTGCTAAGCGCATTGTGCACGCATCCGGAATTTCAGAATGAAGGGCCTGTCGGAGACGGCGTTGCAAACAAAGACAAGAAGCTGTTTGCTGTAAAGGCTCTCGTCAGCAGACCTTGCAGGCTTGTTTCGAACCCACAGCTCCTGGGTCAGATCTTGAACCTGACCGCTGGAGTCCGTAGTGGATTCGATAACGTCAGTTGCGACAAAATCTGCCAAACGTATCCGTTGTACGTCCTCGATGGAGGCAGCCTGGTGCATGCATATGTCTGCATGGCTCTGAACACCTCGGCTTTGCAAGCGTTGTCCGGGCTTTCCAGCAAGCCGTGCTGTTGAAGCACCTGGCGAACTCGACCATCCATGGGGGCTTTCTGCCAGAGTCCTGCGGTCTCATGAGAAAGGAAAGCTATCCTCAGCTTCTCTTGCACTTCTTGAGCTGTTTCGTCTGGGCATGGGAGCAGGCCCAGCTTGCGCAAACAATGCTTGTTGTCACTCATGTTGGTAAAGACTAACATCGCCTCGGCCAAATCCGAGTTTAAGCTGTCGTCGAGATACCCTAACCTTCGCAACACGGTGCCTGTCAAATCAGGTGTGTCCGGCACGATAAAGGGACCACCTCCTCGGAAGATCCGTCTGGCCAGAACACTCCCATATCGGTTCACTTGCATGGAGGTGCCGCCAGGGGATGTTTTGGGAATCACGAAGGCAAGCCTCTTCCCGTATTTCCTCCATCGTTCTCCAGCTCTCTGCCTGGTTATATCATGAACAGCCTGCGTGGCGCACTGTTGTGGGAACACTGCCAGAGGTCCCAGCCCATTCCTCAACCAGAATTTGGCTGCAGCATGAATTAAATAGCTTCCGTCATCGAAGGCCAAGCCCTGAAGAAATCCTCGGACATGCTCGACTTGTGCTGTGTTGTCACAGGAGATGTAGGGATCGGCGAACTGCACACTACCAGTTCCGTCGGTGTGGAGAATTGCCCTGATCTTGGGACTGCTGTCCCGGACCGCTTCCAGCGACCGTACTCGAGCACCCGCTTCCTCGTATCTGCGAAGGACGTTGAACTTCCTGGACGGCACAAACACCTCCAGATCTGCCTTTGACGAAGCATCCTGAACGGCCACCAAGAAACCGTTGTCCTGCACCAAAAGGGCAATGCGCTTTCTATGCGATCCATCAGCGAGCTCGGCGAGCCTGGCCATCACAGCAGAATCATTTGCTTCTCCATCGCTGCGAGGTACTGGGCAGAAGTTTACATCGGATTTTTGCATGAAGGCGCGCCATTGCTTGCTTTTTTCCCTGTTCGGTGCTGCATAGATAGCGGTTCGAACCGTTCGCCCCTCTTCCTCAAGGCGCGCAATTGCGAGCTTAATCTCAGCCAGGCTGTGCGTATCAGCGTCCACAAGGAGCTCTGTCGCGTCCGCAATGCCACGGATCCCGTGAAGGCACCAGGTGTTGCGAAGTCTCGAGTAATGCGCAAGACTTCTCAGCACAACCTGCAAGCCAGGAGAATAGCTACAGCCTAACTCTTTCGTGCCCCTTCCACTAGTACGAAAACTCTTCTTGAATCTACCTTTGTTTACAGAACCTCAAGGGTCTGAAGAGACAAGTGGACTCACTAACCCAACTGCCACCGACAAGCGCGTGGGTGCCAAAGCATTGTAGCAGTCAGAACATGCCGAGGGCGCGTGTGGCCATGAAGCCGTAATGGATGTGGAGATGCTAGCTAATGCAACTGTGTACTGGCTGGGCCCAAGTGACTGCAGTTTTTCATCCTGAAGAGATATCTTTGGACACCAAGAAAGTCAGCATGCTCCGCCCAGCCCTTTTGAAAACGTGTCTGCGCCAACTGCCTGCAAGACGAGCGTGTGGCCACTGCACCATGGGTTATCCGAAAGAGAAATTCAACTGCGAGGCTACTGCAAGCGAGCTGCGTTGATGGTAACGGTGTGGCACAAGGAATCCTGTCCAAGGCGGGCTTGATCATCATGCCATCGCTGGAGACTCTTGACCAGTCAACCCTTTCCGAGTCCGGCTCCACCGTCGTCAATTGCAAGGACGCGAAAAGCCTGGTCACAATCTCGCGAAAGAGTATGGTGTACCAGCACAGCCGGTGACACGGACGTGTCATTCTCTTGCATGTCAAAATCGAAGGCTCTTCAGGGCTACGTTGCCTGAGCGAAGCCTCCCAAGCGGCTGATTTGCCACAGGTGCACAAGGCCTCCAGCTCTCCGAGTTGACAAGGATCCGAGCATGCAACAAGAAGCTGAAGAGTTTTGCTTCCTGTTTAATATTCGACGTACGGTAAGGTTCGCGAAATCGTCAGCACGGCGTGCGAACCCATCGTGCTGCTGCGGCTCAACCGGCTTCTCATTCATGAAACTCGGCAGCCTTATAATTATAATTATGGTCATACTGAGCTTGCATCCACAAACGAGGTTGTGAGCGAAGGTTCCATCCTTTACACTTGCTGCTAGTAGCCGCTAACAGCTCGTTTCCGATTCGTCAAGCTGCATTGGATCGGCTAACAGCAGAAGGTGGCAATGCCACATCCTGCATCCGTGAGTTGAAACCAGTTCACGTTCTTAACAAAGAGGCATTGCTAAAAGTGAAAATCTCCTGCGAATGTCGAAGGATCCGCAGAGCAAAGATCCACGCGCCACCCTGTGCAGGGTAAGCCAGATCATCAGTGCGAGCAAGCGATGCCGGTAACGACTTCGGAAGTCCGGCAGCCCGACCTCCTTGTCGAGTTCTGCATCTACCCGCGTTCCGCTGATTGTGGAGCTGACCTGAGATGGACGGCAGGACTTTTCTGGGAGCAATTTGCTAGAGCAGCGATGACTCGAATGGCGCCAAGCTTCCAAACCTTGATCTGTTCGCAATGACAGCATACACAAGTCCTTCCAGAAAACGGTCAAAGTGCAAGTGACCAGCAGTCAAAGCTATCTCTTTGCGCTTTCGTCGTGTCCTGGAGAAATGACCAGGCAGCTTGCCAAACTCCACCTGCGAAGCGGTGAACAAATCAGCAGTTAGGCACTCTGTCGCGCAGTCGCACATCTGAGGCGATCTAAGGAGTGGGCCTTGGGCACATGCATTCGCAGCAGCATTGGCGCAAACAACATCTGAGTCGATGTCCTGTGCAAGTCGGAGCGCACCCCCACCGCTCCCCTTCCGCCTAGGCCTTTTCGGCCCGACGAAAGACCCGTTTCGACAATTTCATAGTAAACGGGAGAAGGTTTTTTTCCGGCTGATGCTTCGAGATAGCGCCCGTGGAACCAAAACACCTATCACATGATAACACGTTTAGTCATGTATGCAAAAGCTGTGTGCCCATGGGCCGGGGATCTGATGTGGGGTGCCCGTGGGCCGGGGATCTCAGATTATAAGGGTCGAGAGTAAAGCACGCAGACCCCCAGCACGCCTCCTCAGTCTGTACGTGTGATGTCCACCCGGACTCAGACTTCACCGGAGGGCGAAGTCCACCCACGAGAGAGTGAAAGGAAGATGAGTGTGGATCGTTTGCAAGAGTCATGTGCAGTCTCTGAGGCACCAACCCGATGCATGGAACTCGTTTTTGAGAAACCTTAACCTTTCAAAACCTCCGCAGACTGAGCTCAAACGAATCATACATCAGCAGCATGTTGTCATGTCGGGCTCAAACTTTGAACGGAAGTGTGCGAAGGTGCAAACAAAATCTGTCTCCTGTCTGTACGTCTCCACCTTTTCTACTGCCGGGACTTGCTGCGTCATGTAGAAGTCTTCCGCGTCTACGAAAGGGCCTATGAACAAGCTGGAATGACTGCAGACAGGCTTGCGCTTGTGAGTGGCCAATGTCTGCCTTGAAGGTCTTGGACTTCATCAGCTTCAGCTCTTCTTGCAAGCTTGCGAAGGGCAGCAGTGTGGTCTTCACGTGAAGACAGATCCCAGCGCTCGCTCGGGTCGACTTCGACGTTGAAGAGGCAGCCGTTGCCGCAGTCCTCAACTATATGTCCTTCTCCATTTGAGCCGATTCATTTTCAAAAGAGGACCGGACCAGGCCAGAAGCTGTACTTCTGCTGCAAGGTGACCAGCTTCAAGACTGTGTTTGGGCTCAAATGCAATGCGTCGGGACGGCCATTGGTTCCTGAGAAGATGCTCTGGCCGCCCCTCTACCTCGCCTAGCAGTGGTCGACCCTGTACCCTGCAGCAACGTGTCCGTGACTTTGGGGTTCTTGCCAAAATCCAAGTGCAATACTC